TTCAGCATTTATAACCGTAGTTTTACGCCACAAGAATTTCAGACCATAGAGAGGTAGGCAATGTGCCCTGTCTTCTTCTGGCAGTCTCTTGGCCCCACTTCTGCTTAGAGTTACTAACTTTCCCTGTGCCTATGTAAGCATTGTAAATGTACACTTTTATTTGCATATTTACCTTTTTTTGAGAACATTGTAGTTAAATGTGATTCTACTGTAAGAACTTCCATTACCAAGCTATTTTTCGGGGTCATCCTTTGCTATCATTACATCAGCAAAGCTTGTCTCTAAATTTAGCATGATACCACTTTTGATAAAAGAGAGCATGCCTCTCTGCACTCAGAAGGAGTTGGGAACATTTTGTTCTTTTCACATTCGTTGATACTAAATGTTTTTCCTATTTTTTTTTAAAAGTCATAGATATTTCGGATTGTATTTGTTTTCTTGGTAGCGAGACCCCAAGTTTTCTATGGATGTCACATATTTATAATCATATATATGAATGTGTTATCTGTATATTATATGTACTGTATAGGTATATATGCATATATTTTTCGTCCATTCTCCTCTTAAATTGTTTATTCCTCTGAAGACTTTTCCATAAGTTAAAAACAGACAAACACAAGCTGTTTGTTTTATCATCTTGCCCTTGACTTGTGTATGATCTTATTTTCTGATACATAGACATTATAAATACATGTATTATGAAATATTTTTCCCAGTGTTTTGACTTCTAGATAGTTTAGTGACTTTCCTGTTTTGTGGTTTTTACCTTTTAACTTGGCTATAAGCAGAGTTATTCAGAACACAGTACATCTGTTTCTTTGTAACGATATACCCTGTGGGTACAGGGTGGCTGATTCTTGGGTTAGCACAGCTCAATAGTCCTGACTGTCCCTTAATCACAAGTGGAAAGAGAGAACAAGACAGGGACAGTCAGTTAGCTGCTGAGCATGTCTGTCTGCTAAATAGACTCAGTCTCTTTCATTCTGCAAAGAGTGTTTGATGACCGTCACCCAACCCCAGCACTCATTTGTACCTCGAAGCTTATGTGGCTAGAAGATGTAAGCAAGGCACAGGTCACCCCTAGACACTACATTTGGAAATATCATCCTTTGTGGTTGAAATGGAAAGGGTATAAGTGAGTAGAGATAATTCAGTCCAGTGAATTGGGATAGGCAGAGAGGAGTTTGAGTTCAGAAAGCTGCTTTTGGACTTGGCCTGTCCTGTTAGCGGGTCAAGTTCTATATCACTGTGACTGCTGTTGCTGTCTCTGTCATTCCTCTATGATCGCAGCCCTTCTCTTATGAACTTACATTTAATGGCAGGCTGGTGCCCTCTTCTCCCAGCACCACAGCTTATTTTCTCTGTGCATTTGTGTGCAAAGTTGATTCAAAACAGACTGAGAAGGGGGTCATGTTTCTCTGCTTCTGCTAACATTGTTCTTTGCTGGTGATGACCAATGAGAGTATCTACCCCTTTCTTGGAGCCTTGTCTGCTCTCCAGCTGTTGTCTGTTTGTACAATAAATTAAGGCCATGCTATGCTGCCGATCGCCTTGAACTAGTTAATGAGCATCACAGCCCTCCATCCTCCCTTGTGAAGATGGCTTGACCTTGACGGTGTTGTGTGTCTCCAGGATACTATGTTAGTGTACTTGTTCTGGTGACATAGCAGACATTCACTTATGGTTCTGGGAAATCTAAGCACATGGTTTCAAAGGATTTTGTATATAGTAGAGGCTCATTTTCTAGTTCAAAGATGGCACTCTCCATGAGTCCTCATGTAATGGAGAGACAAGAATTTTCCTAGAAATGCTTATACAGGTACTAATACTGCACATGAGGGATGTGCCCTTCCATAGACATGGCTATATTGCCCTCGTATTGACATTTGATTTCAATTCAAGAGTTACCAGAGGCTAAATGTATTCAAGCCATAGTAGCTCTCCCCATTCTGTATCTCTTGTCACTGTATCCCAGATGAGGGTATGAACATAGTCACAGAAGCTGAGCCACAGTCTATCCCAAAAGTCTTCATTCTACATTTTTCAAATATCACAGTTAAAATGAGACACTCATTTGAAGCCAACATCCCCGAAAGAAAGAGATGCTCCAAATTAGTTTCTTTAACAATCATTTCACCCATGGATAGTTTATTTGCGGACTAAGGAGCCCATCTCAAGATGGTCTGTAATCTTATGCTGAGACCTCAGTGTGTTTCAGAGCCATGTCTTATGTGTGGCCATGGATAGTGAAATGGTAACCCCTGAGAAACCATCACCAAGTCTAGAGGAGTCTATTGAAAAAGATCCATTTTTCCTTAGGTGTTTTCAAGGTTCAGTACATAAGCATGTAGAACCGGTAGACATTTGATGAGCTGGCTTTTAAGTTAGCAATCACATGGCTTCATTCACTGGCAGTATTTATACCTTATCATGTTCCTATTACTGCGCATAGTGTACACACACCCAAGAAGGATGACAGTAACGATAGCCGACAAGTGCTGAGCTCTTACTCCTCTATGTCACCTCATCTTATCCTCAGATCACCTTCATCATTAAGTACCTTTGTAATATTGGATAAAAAATAAAGAATTACATTTAAAGATATTGAATAATGGTAACATGGACTAAAGCTGAAGCACACAGTGCTTCGCACTATTTACTGCTGTTTCCACGTGAGAAAGGCACAAGCCCATCTCCTCAAGGAATTTATACTCTGAACTAGGGAATGCATCTACCTGGAAAGCAATTAACTTAAAAATCTCAGACTGTGAAGGCCCCAAAGACTTTGTCACCGTTCAGTTAATCTGTGGCTGATGTATACCCTGGGCTGATGGAAGCAACTTGGTTGGAGTGGACGTCTCTGTTTTCACCAACCGAACCCTTTCATCTTGTCCCTTCCCGTCATCCTCAGTCTGTAATTCTGTTTCTTTCTGTTTGGCCTGCATGCCCCTCCCTGTCCTGTTCCTTTGGTCTCTCTTTCATGTAGATGATTTCTAGAGATTACCAAGTGTCACAGTATAGTTTCAAAGGTGAACATGGGAAGGAGGGACACCTGGCCACAAATCAAACCCTGTATTGACAAAGGGCTTGGTGCATCTGGGGCTCCTTTTATGTTTTCTGGTGTTTGATACACTCAAGGAAAACAGGGACTCACTGATTGCCCACCATGTCTGGGCTCCTTCCTTCTTGCTTTCTGGCACTCCACGATGCAGGACTCCAAAAGCACATCCAGGCCCCTCTGCTGTTGTTAATCAAATCTTCCAATGATGAACAACTCAGTTCATTATGTTTCCAGCTTACATTAATCATCTTTTTCTGTGAGTTTAGTAACATTTGGAGTCATTTCCCTGTGAATTTATCAATCTGGGATCCTTATAAAAGACATGCTCACAGAGTCATTTGCTGCTCATGCATGAAGCGGTTTGTGGCTCACTACGTGAAGTACCTACTGTTCCCTGAATCCTGAAAGGAACCCGCTGAAGCAAGTGTGGCTCCATCACCATTCAGGGGCCCCTCAGTTGCGATCTATGAGATTTTCAACATATTGCAAGACCCACAGTGTAGCAGTCTCAGCTGCGACATAATAGTAGTGGAAAATGCCAACAGCAGTGTGGAACCAGCCTGCACTCCTAGAGCAGATAGGAGTGGCGAGCTATGGGTGCAGTGGAAAGAAAGGTGAGATGGATGAGTCAAAGGAGAGCCCTGGCAGGAGGACTGTCTTTACTCCTACAAGCTATTTGACCTTAGACAAGTCACATATTCTCACTAAGATCCTTCTGTGAGCTACTATCACAGGGTAGTTCTGAATGTTGGCTTTTGCTCTCTCTGCTGCTCCCTGCTGTTGAGGAAACTGTAATATTTTAATGCCATTTAATTTTGCAATTCCGACACCTCTTTCCCAAACCAACAACGTGTGTGTGTGTGTGTGTGTGTGTGTGTGTGTGTGTGTGTGTGTGTG